GGGAGAGGGAGAAGCAGGCTCCTCGCTGAGCAGGGAGCCTGATGCGGGGCTTGATCCCAGGACCCTGGGATCACGAGCTGAGCCGAAGACAGACACTTAACTGATAGAGCCACCCAGGCTCCCCTTGAATTTCTTTTCTCAGTTCATCTCCATTCTTCTTTGGGGACCCCCTTCTTTTCTCACCAGCATTTCCTTTTCTCATGACACGTGTGACAGTCTCTATGAATGCCTGAGCCTGCTTCACTTCAGTCTCTCTCTGTTGTTGTTACCTGTTTCATTGCCTTAATTTAGCTGCCTTCTCTGGTGTGCGCTACCCAAATCTGTCTTGATTTCCTTGATCTCTAGAAGTGCATACCTGCCACTCTAAAATCTTGAGAGGAATTCAAGATTTAGCAATTTACAACTTTCTAAACACTGGGGAAATGAAATCCTCCCCAAATATTTTTTTTTTTAAATTGCTCCTTCCTGATACTGCTTTCTAAAGTCACCATTCCGTTTAATATGGATGGTCAGTGGCACCACTGGATTTATACCTGAAGGCTTCCTGATCAGGAGCACATTTGTGCTTTGGGAAATAATTTGTTTCACTAAAAAGAATTGATCCTTTTAGGCTGCTTGTATAACTTGACACAAATAATAAAAGATAGAGGCTTTGTTTAGTTAGTGTTCTAAGACTGGTGGTGTTTACCTCTCTAGACACAAAAATCTTAATAGTCAGATGGTTTATATTCACTGTGCACGGGGGAGTCTCCCTTTTCTTGGGATTTTAAAAGGATTTGTTGAAAATGACAGACCCACCCACACTAGAATGTGCCAACATATTTCTGTGATTCTGCCAATGATACGCATATTGTCCTCCCACTTTAATATTTCCCACAAAATACAATCACAATGGCCAGAGGAGCTTGTCAATGTGACTAAGGAATGGGTTCTTAACCGATCTGGGCTGCACTAGACTTTTCTCCCAGTTCTGCTTTCCTATTTCTTACCCCAGTCTGTTCTTGTCCGATGATGTGGAATTGGCCAATCCTAGATTTAGTTACGCATTATTTTCAGGCTCTGCCACAGCTCATAATTTAGGGCCAAATTTTATTGATTATCGGTTTCTACAATTTTGCCTCTCCCAATTTCTTCCTTCTACTCTTCACTTTTAACTTGGAGATTGTTCATATTTTCTTCATCTGAGTATTCTGTCCTGCATCTATGGTCTTTGGCTGTAGGAACACTATGCACATGTTGTGGCTAGGTTTTAAACATTTTTTGATGGGAAGATTCATACTTGTAAGGGGGTCAAGCTGAAAACTTGGGCATAAACATGGATGTCATGATACTTCCAATGTAATTCTATTGAAAAGCCCTCTTTCCACACCTGAGCTCCTCTTGTTCAACAACAGGATGCCTGATGTTGTAATACACTCATTTGACCTCACATGACTTGGGCTCAGAATTCTTTTAGCAAAGAACAGATGTGCCTTTCAACAGTGACTTCTGATTGTTCCATTGAAGGTTCCAAATATTTTGATTTTTCTCTTTCTCTAGCTTATTTTTCTCCTAGCATGTAGTAGATAAATAACAAATAGCCACAGCAACAATGGTAAAACAAACAAAAAACCCAGGAGAACAGAAAAATGCAAGGGAGTTAAAAAGTGCAGTGGGAATCTAAATTTTTTTTTAAGGGGAAGTGTAAAGCTGCCTTAGCATCTGTTTTGAAGGGATTTCCCTCCTGTGTGTACCGACCAGTCTTTCCCTGGGGTTAGTGATTGTGCAGAATTGCAAATGCACCTTGGCTTGAAAACTGATTGCTTTACCTTATCCCTCGAGGGTTACTTTTCCTACTGTTCTTTGTTTCATACATAGGTGCACACGTGACTGCCACAGACTTACCTGAATTACTTGGAAACCTGCAATATAATATTTCCCGAAACACCAAAATGAAATGCAAGCATTTGCCTCGGGTTAAAGAGCTCTCCTGGGGCGTAGCTTTAGATGAGAACTTCCCCAGGTCTTCCAACAATTTTGACTACATCCTGGCAGCTGACGTTGTCTACGCCCACCCTTTCCTGGAAGAACTCCTCATTACTTTTGACCATCTGTGCAAAGAAACTACCATCATCCTCTGGGTCATGAAATTCAGATTGGAGAAAGAAAATAAATTTATAGATAGATTTAAGGAGTTGTTTGACCTGGAGGAGATTTCCAGTTTCCCTAGCCTGAATATTAAGTTGTATAAAGCCATGAAGAAAAGTCGGAGGAGTGCGTGATACCCTCAAGGAGGGCTTCAAAAGCAAAGATGGTTTCTAGTAGAGTGTTCCTTTAAAGAAGATCCTGGATGATCTGACGTAGCATGACTTTCCCAAGGGGGACCCCCCCCAATGAACTTGCCTCACCCCAGACAGGGAGTTTCCCAGATACAGCACCTGGGTCTGGAGGGTGGCCTGTCATACTGTGTGGTCATTGGTTAGGACAAGATCTGCTTTCCTTATCCCTCTATAGCACCATTTATTATTATTATCATTTTAATAAATGGTACTATTACTTTTAATGTATAACTATAGGATAATTTTTAATATCTCTAAAATGAACATTCCTATTGTTTTAAACATAAGCTTCTCTGATTCTCTCTTTAGGAATAAAGAAATAGCTTATAATGGGATCTGCAGGTAAATCTGAAAAGGCAGATGAATAATGTGATGGTAAATGTGAGATTATATTTTGTGGTTTTCATTAGTGCCAGTTTATAGGTGGTCTGTTGTCTCTGCTTTGTGGGGTGGGCCTCGAGTGCAACCTCTGAAATCAATCACGTTTATGGATTTGAGGTTATGGGCAAGGACATTTCACTCTAGTAAATGAAAAATGAATGGAAGCAAACATAAACACAGTTGAGATTTTGGAGGAGTTATTGTTTTATTTTTAAGCCAAGTACAGTTATGTTGAATCACAGAAACAGAGATAAATATAAAAACTCTGGGTTGAAAATACACATGAAAAGATTTAGGCTTCTAATCTCAAATAACCAGACATAGGACTGGTTTTAAAGTTTCAAGCTTTTGTGATGCACATATATAGACCTAGATATTTGAAATCCTATGTGATTTTCTTCACACGGACCTTAGAGATTAGAACAAAGACCGAAGTAATTAAAGTCAGTGCAAGGAGGGTAAAAATCGAAGATTGTGTCCCAGTGGTTCAGACTCCATTGGTGGGTGTCTACTCTTGCAATAGTCCTTAGGCTGTCACAGGGCCCCTGGGGTGGTGCTTATTCTCCTAGGCCCAGCCCTGTGCTTTGCTGGAAGTTCTCAGCCACTCAGGGTCCAGCACAACTGACAAAATGACTTCCTAGGGTCCTGATGTGTAAGGAGGATGCCAATATACTCCCAGTGGGTTTTTGGTTGTGTGGCCCATAGGGATGTCTCCCAGTTTACGTGGTTTCTTCCAGTTTTCACAGCCCATTACTACATGAAGTCATGTGATCCTTATGACCTTTCTAAGAAGTTGAGGGAATGTCATTATCCCTACTTCACAACCAGCCTTGCTGGGGCTGAGAGGGCGGTCACTTGCCCCAGGCATACGGTGCAGAGGGCTTGTCTGAGCCTGGGGCATGTGTTCTTACCATTGCACTGCTTATACGCTTTTAAAAACAGCAATTCTCAAGCTCTTTGGTAAATGAGTGAAGTCATCTCTTCAAAATGGAATCGGTACCCAGAAAGGTAAGCAAATACATTAGGGGAAGTGAGAATTGCCCTTCCTTATATTTTTCCCTCTTGTTTCTGGCCTTAACTGGGTGGTCAGGGCAAGTGCATTTGGGAGGTGACACTTAAGCAAAGCAGGAAGGAGATGAGGGAAGAAGCAGTGTGTATATCTAGGGAAGTGTGTTCCAAGCAAAAGGGGCAGGCGTGCCCCAGGGCATGCCAGTCATCTCGCAGAAACAGCAAAGGCCAGTGTGCTTTGGAGCAGGGCAAGCAGGGGACACTGGTTAGTCAGGGAGGTCAAAGGGGGCCAGGTCATGTCCGATGTTCGTGGCAATCTGGCTTCTTCAGAAGCAGACTCTAAGGTGGAGTTCGGTTTGCCTGGCATTTACCATGGAGTGCCTCTAGGGTCGAGACCTGTGTGAGGGAGGCGGACAGAGGCAGAGGTTGAGCTGCAGGGCAGGCCCAACCACGTGGGGCCCTGGACCGAGACTGGCCTTTCCGAGTGGTCCTGTGTCGGGGTAAGCCTTCTGGGCCTTGACGATCTGTGTCACTCGTCCCTGGATGTGGCTGCCCCGGGAAGGCTCTGTGACCTTGCAGCAGGTGACTCTGCAGCGGAGGGCCGTCTTGCAGCATCCAGCTACTTAGTTTCTCTGGAGGGGGTCTGGGTACCACTGCCTCTCAGGCAGTTGAAAGAACTTTGGCTTTTTCTCCAGGGAAGGGGAGAATCACTGGATGACCTAGAGTCGAGTGGAACAGTATCACCCCATGTGAGGACCACTCTGGCCACTGTTTTGAGAATACTATGAAGGGGCGAAGGGACCAGTTAGGAGGTTGCAGCAGCTATCCAGGTAGGTGAGGAAGAGCCTGCAGCAGGGAATGAGTGCTAGAGGTGGTGAGGAGAAGTCGTTTCTACACACGTTTGGAAGCTAGAGCCAACAGACCTTCCCACCATATTGAGGAGTCAAGGCTGACTCTAAATTAGGTGTTTGATCCCAGCTACTGGATGTCAAGTTAGAGTCCTCAGTTTAGAGATGGTCTGTAAAGCTCATTCAGGGAGTAGGAGGAACACAGAATAAGAGAAGGATGGAGCCCCGGGGCTGGCTGACATTAAGATCAGACGTGTGTATTTGAGACTTTTTTTGAGGTTCTGCCGCTCACCCACAAGTTATATTACTATCTGTTGACGTTTGAAAGATTTGAATTTACTACCACAGTGGTTTTTGAACTGGTCAGTAGAGTTCTAAATTTCCTTCCAGCTGACTCAGGGGCTTCTGGAGTGTTTTAGGGGTAACTAAGTGGTTCCTCTGCTAAATGTCTGTATATCACTACTAAGCTATTTTTAGGTAGAAGAGATAAAGGGTCCTTTTCAAAGACTGTGTTAGAACCAAACCAGCCATATGGTTCCTCTTTCTGTAGGTGTCAATCTGTCAAACACAAGGGTTTCTACAGCCATTGTTTTACTCTGTTTATAGCATTCACTTGCAGATCTTAACACCCACCCCCACACACTGTGTGTGCATCTACTTTTATCTTTTTGCTCTAGGGTCTCCACACTTGTCTAGATTTAATTTCATAATAATTTAATTTCAAAAGATGTAATTTGAGTAGGCTTTTTCTACCCTAAAACTTTATTTTATGGTTAGTTGATTTGTTACCTTTAGTCCAAAGGAGTTGACTGTGAATTTTGCCTTTACTCCACTTTTTTCTCTTTCTCTGTGTGTGTGTGTGTGTGTGTGTGTGTTCTTTTTTTGACAAGTTAAACTGTGTTACTGAGAACCTGGTCCAATTCTTGGAGTAACTTTCCAGATTTCTAATAGAATAAACACACCGATTGTCAAGGTTTTAATAGAAGTTATCACAGAATAGTTTTTGCTTCACAGAAGACATACCAACTTGCTAGTGATACTCTGTAGCTTAAAGTGTCCTTGTTATACACATGTAACCACAAAAGTTGTTATGACCCAGACTGTATCAATCGTCTCTAGGAAACTTAATACTGTACTAAGATCTTCTATCTTAGAATTTACTAATATATCTATTGCACTTGTGCCAATTTTTGTCAACCAGAATTTTTCAAAAATTGGTTTTTATTCCATATTTTCATTCTGTTTCTTTTTTGGGTAAAGAATTGTGACATTGGGTAACTTCCTAACAGATTTGGAGCCAAGAGTATAAATTCATTGTTGTGGAAGAAAGAAGAGAGGAAGCATAACAGAATGTTCTTTTATTTTTTTGAATCCTTGGGTTCCAGGAGCATGGTGTTCTCTGTAAATGCCTGGTCTTTAGAGACAGAGACCATCTCCCACTTGTTGTTGGTGTATGGGCAGGTAAATCATTTCCAAATATCCTTTGGAAGTAAAACATGTCCACTGGGTAGGATTTTCATGTAAGAAAAGATTTACATGTACTAATTTTGAAGGCAAACTGAGAACCTTGGGTTCTAGAAATAAAAGTATCTGATCTACTTAAGGATACTTATTGATAAGCTTAGAAGGAAATTAATATATTGTGCCTCCTCTTTTGACTCCATTTTAACTTAGTATTGGTGATATCTACATGGAGAGGAAAAAAATCAAATATGTGCATTTATTTCTCCACCAAATTATAGGGCTATAATAAGAAACAAAGTTGGGTCTGGAACAGATAAATAATTTCACAAAGTGTAGGCAATCAGGGCAAAGTAAATTTAAAAACCATAGACATTTGTATGTTTGTGTTTCTAATTCTTTAAGTCTTCTTTATGAAGCCTGGAAATAGTTCACAAATGATTTCCACATCCAGGTTTTGGTATTTTTGAGTTTGTGATGTGAAATTCAGTCTGGAATATTTACCTGCAAGCCAGTTTCAACGTCTGCTCTGCTTCCAAGTTCTACACAAAATCAAAGACTGTGTCTGTATTCTTATGTGGCCCTATTAATGGGGCAGTTGTGTTCTCGGGGCCTTATTAGTATCAGTTAGTTCCTATTAATTCCTCTATGAAGAGGGCGCAGGCTGGACACTGGTGTCTACTCAGCTTGTGTATACCTGTGTAGTACTTAGGTTGCTGGGCATGCACCACTGTCTATTCTACCCAATTAACCTTTGGCCTCTGTCTTGAACAGAGCTTTTATTGGTACAGCTCAGAGGCAGGATTTTTTTCTTCTCAATTCTCCTTGTTTCCTTGATTCTAAGGCAGTTGTCTTGCCCTGAAATCCAATCAAGTTTTAGAATTGGCACTCAAACATCAAGGAATTTAAAAGCATCATTAAAAATGAAAACAGATATCCAGGTCAGTTTTGTGATAAATGACATTAATAGAAAAAAGTAGAAGAATACGGGATATCTGCTGTCAACTACTAACACTTTACCATATAAAAAAATACTCTTTGGTTTTCCAAACAAAAGCATAGCCAAATAAAATGAAAACAGTCCCTTCAAAAAATGTTTTAATAGCCAGACGTTATTTCATAATGCCACAAATATAGGACACAGGCTTCTGAAAATTACTTATTTGGTAAATGCTAGATTTTGTAGTTTAGGGTTTGAGAATTTTCATATTTTCATTGTCCATAATTTTAAATTATGAGTAGCCCCTTACCTTCACTGGATTTTTTATTTTTTTTTTTAGTGTCATGATTTAATTTGGGTTTTCTTATCTAGTGCCATGATTTAATTTGGGTTTCTTATCTCTTTCTGTGTTTCCTTTGTTGGAAGAGTATAAATCATGATAGCAAAGGTTGTCTCTTTGTCACAAACCATCATAAATAAGCCCAAAGAACAGGCCATAAAAATGTAAGAAATTCTTAGATTAAAAAACATGAGTAATGTTTTCTACCCACCTGCTGTTCAGAGGTAAAAGTACACTTTGCATCTAGTAAATTATTAACACTTTTCTAACCAAGGATTTCCTCCTTCCTTAGGATCTCTGTGATTTATAGATAGTCAATTTAAGAATTAGAAAGATGTCAAACATGATAAACACATTTCATAATCATGTGTTAAAAAGAAGAATTGAGGAATACTTATAATAAGATTATAATTATTTATAATAATACAATTATTATTTTTTTAAGATTTATTTATTTTAGAGAGAGAGAGCATGTGCAACTGGGGGAAGGGGCAGAGGGAGAGAATCTCAAGCAGACTCCTCACTTAATGTGGAGCCCGACGAGGGGCTCAATCCCACAACCTATGAGATCATGACCTGAGCCAAAACCAAGAGTCAGA